GTCCCATTCAATTACATCACGTGCAGGCAGACAACTAAAAACTGACAAATTCTATAAGTGCTAGAAGTCTCAGTGCTAAGATGGGTGAACTGGCGCGCGCCTGGTATTTAAATGAAGCTATTGATATAATATCACAATCTTGGTGGAATGATGACAATCACTGGGACTCTAATACCAGCGTACAAAATATATAGAAATGACAGAATGTTGTGCTGGTTGGGGAGTGGCACAATGTGCAAAAGAAAGTGTAGAGTCAAATACAGCAGAATCCTGTTGATCTGATCTAATTGGGACTGAGGCCAGATCGGATGATCGAAAATTTGGATAATGCAGAGAGAATAGGAAAGTGCAAGGCTGCTGCACCATCTAGCAGCCACAGAAGAGATCGCCTGCTTTTGGATCTGTGTGTTGGTGGTTCATTTAAGACAGAGGCAGATAATGGAGCGTTGAATAAATGGGGTTCTGCTGCATAGTAAAATTCTTAAGTGAGTCAAACTATGTATCATAGAATGTCTAGCGATAGAAATTCCATGCTTGAATAAGAATATAATAGTAGGAATATACTACCGACCCCTTGACCAGAATGTGAAATGCTTAGGGAGATTAGAGACTAAAAATAAATAGCTTAATAATAATGGGGGATTTCAGCTATCCCCCTATTGATTGGGAACATGTCACCTGAGGAGGGGATGCAGTGATAGTGTCTAGCCACCATTAATGACTGCTTCTTGGAGCAGCTAGTTCTGGAAGTCACAAGGGGAGAGGCAATTCTTGATTTAGTCCTCAGTGGAGCACAGGATCTGGTCCAAGAGGTGAATATAGTGGAACAATATAAATTTAACATCCGTGTATGTGGTGGGGGGAAATACCATAAAGCCCATCACATTAGCATTTAATTTAAGAAAGGGGAACTACACAGAAATGAGGAAGCTCGTTAAACAGCAATTAAAAGCAACAGTCAAAAGAGTGAAATACCTGCATGGAAACTTTTAAAAACACCAAAATAGAGGCTCTAATTAAATGTATACCGCAAACTAAAAAGAATAGTAAAAGTACCAAAAAAAGAAGCTGACAGAGGCAAAGGCATCCTTTAAAAATTGGAAGTCCAATCCTACTGAGGAAAATAAGTGTAAAAGTATAATTAGTCAGGCCACTAAAAAATTTGAAGAGTCTCAAAAAATAAGTTCATGAGAAGCAGGAAGCCTGCCACACAATCAGTGGGGCCACTGGACACTCAAGGAAGACAAGGTCATTGCGGGGAAGCAAAATGAATTCTTTCCATTGATCTTCACTTAAGAGGACATGAGGGATATTCCCACACCTGACCATTCTTTTTAGGTGACAAATCTGAGGAACTGTCCCACATCAAGGGGTTAATAGAAGAGGTTTTGGAACAAATTGATATGTTAAACAGCAATAAGTCACTATGACCAGATGGTATTCACCCCAGAGTTCTGAAGGAACTCAAATATGAAATTGCAGATCTACTAAAAGTGTGGTATGTAACCAATCACTTAAATCAGTTCTGCACTAGGTGACTGGAGTATAGCTTATGTGACACCAGTTTTTAAAAAAGGCTCCAGAGTTGATTAGGGGTGCTGGAACAATTTTTATAGTGGGGGGGGGGAGGGGGCTGATGGAAACCAGATAGAGGGTGCAGCAGTACCCCTAGCTCCAGCACCACTGGAAGTCATCCTAGCAATTACAGACCGGTAAGCCGCACTTCAGTATTGGGCAAATCGGTTGAAAACATAGTAAAGAACAGACTTACTAGATACATAAATGAACACAATTTGTTGGGAAAGAGTCAACACGGTAAAATCTATTAGCAATAGATTTGTACCACTCTATTAGCATTCTTTGAGGGGGGTCAACAAGCATCTGTACAAGGGTGATCGAGTGGACCCAGTGTACTTGGACTTTCAGAAAGCCTTTGACAAGATCCCTCACCAAAGGCTCTTAAGCAAAGTAAGCTATTATGGGGTAAGAGGGAAGGTCCTCTCATGGACTAGTAACTGGTTAAAATACAGGAAACAAAGAGTAGGAATAAATGGTCAGTTTTCAGAATGGAAAGAGGTAAATAGCTGGGTCCTCCAGGGATCTGTCCTTGGGCCAGTGCTGGAAAAAGGGGTAAACAGTGAGATGGCAAAGTTTGCAAACCATACAAAATTATTCAAGTTAGTTTAGTCCAAAGCAGACTGTGAAGAGTTACAAATAGATCTCGCAAAACTGGGTGAATAGGTAAGAGAATGGTAGGTGAAATTCACTGTTGATAAAGACAAAGTAATGTATGTCAGAAAACATCCCAACTATATATACAAAATGATGGTACCAGCTAATTTCAAGACCACTCAAGAAAGTGAGGTTGGAGTCATTCTGGATAGTTCTCTGAAAACATCGGCTCAATGTGCAGTGGCAGTCAAAAAAAAAAAAAAAAAGCTAACAATATTAGGAACAATAGGAAAGCGATAGGTAAGACCAAATATAATGCTCCTACCTGAAATACTGCATGCAGTTCTGGTCAGCCCATCTCTAAAAAGATACATTAGAAATGGAAAAGGTAGAGAGATGGGCAACAAAAATGATTGGGGTATGGAACAGCTTCCATGTGAGGGAAGAGTAAAAAGACGGACTGTTCAGTTTGGAAAAGAGGTGACTAAGGGGCGGGATATGATTGAGGTCTATGAAATCATGAATGATGTGGAGAAAGTGAATAAGGAAGTGTTGTTTACGCTTTTTCATAACACGAGAACCCAGGGTCACCCAATGAAATTAATAGATAGCAGGTTTAAAACATGAGGAAGCACTTCTTCACCCAACGAAGTTAACCTGTGGAACTTGTTGCCAGGAGATGTGAAGGCCAAAAGTATAACTGGATTCAAACAGAGAATTGGATAAATTCATAGAAGAGAGGTCCATCAATGGCTCTTAGCCAAGATGGTTAGGTCTCTGACTGCTAGATGCTGGGACTGGACCCCAGTGGCTGGATCACTTGATGATTGCCCTGTTCTGTTCATTCCCTTGGGGGACCTGACATTGGCTGCTGTTGGAAGACAGGATACGGTACTACATGGACCATTGGTCTGATCCATTATGGCTGTTCTTATGTTCACACTCCAGAACTGACTCCCGTGTGTTGGAGCTGCACTGAAATCACACAGCCTCTTCCCTAGGGTCACTGAACGACTGGATGCAAATTACTTAGACAAATCCAAAGCTGACCCTTTGGCACTGGGTGTATTTACTGTAGTCTGGGACCCCAACCCCAATTGGGACCAGTTGTTTGGGTCCTCTACAGCTCTAGAGAAGAGCTGATCCCTGCCTTGGTGGGCCCACTGTCTGAGATCCCCTAGCCTATTCCCAGTCTCTTGAGCCATCACAGTCTCTCCTCTGCTCAGGTCAGAGGGGGGCACTGTGAGGGGGAGTTGCTAACAAGGGCCTCTCCCACAGCTACCTGCTGCCGCTCCGAAACAAGGCCACCAAGAGGAAGACTCCTGTGATGAAGAAGACCCTGAATCCTCACTACAATCACACCTTTGTCTACAATGGCATCAGCCCAGAGGACCTGCAGCACATCTGTCTGGAGCTGACTGTCTGGGACCGTGAGCCATTGTCCAGCAATGACTTCCTGGGAGGAGTCAGGCTGGGAGTTGGGAATGGTGAGGTGCTCCCTGGTCTCAGTTGTTGGGTGGGGCTGCCCCTGCTCTCCTGGGGGGTGTAGCAGAGTGTAACGGGTGGGCTGGGTCACCCAAGTTCTCTCCCCGCCTCATCCCAGCTTTGCCTGGAGTACCCTATTCCCCATCCCGTGAAGCTGGATGCCTAATAGGAAGGATGAAATCCCTTGGGCACAATGCTCCCCTTCACATCCAGCAGTCCCCATCATTACCTACCGCTGCTCCATTTCCCAGCACCCTTCTGTGTGGCTGGAAGCTGCTTTTGTGTGCCCAGGGCTTGGGAACAGGGCTGTGCACTGCAGAAACTCACTTCTGTTGCCCCACTTCCCTCAGGTATGAGTAAGGACCAGGTGGTTGACTGGATGGACTCCACAGGAGAGGAGGTGAGCCTGTGGCAGAAGATGCGCCAGTTCCCGGGCTCCTGGGCAGAAGGAACACTACAGCTCCGCTCCACCATGGCCAAGCCAAGAGCATAGCCATAGCCTGGGCGCTGGGCCTGAAACCAGCTTTAGCAAGACAGCACCAGGCGGAGGCAACCGAACTGAAACCACGGCACCAGCAAGGGCCGCATGTAGGATCTACTGGAGTGGGAGCAGGCTCTGGCTTTTGCCTGTGTAGTAATAAAGCTAATTGTGTCTTCAGCAGGCTCAGCCTAACAGCCTGTTCTTGGCAGCAGCTTATTTTATGTAAAGGGTTTTTGTCTCTTAACTTGGCTGGAATTGAATTCCATAGGGTCTCCCCCCTTGTAGGGGCTAAGTGCTTTTAAAACTTGTTTTTCTTAGTGTTTTCACCTCTCCCTCTCCCATGTAGTTTGTTTGATTGCCCTACCTACAGCTTCCACTCTTGTCTCCCCTTCCCTCTGTCCTCCTGGGATGGTGCAGATAGACTCAGACACTACAAACTAGAGGCTGCATGGGCATAAGCAATCAATATTTGGTATGTAGAATGTGAGAATACCCAGTGCTGTTGAGACATGGGCTGGTGGGGGAAGGAAGAAACAAGCCCATGCCTGTTAGAGTACTGTGCCCTGATTAGGGTAGGGTGTTTGTCACTGGCAGAGGAAAAGCAGCTAGGAGAGCTCTGTGCCGATCTCAGCTGGGGGAAGTGGCTTTGAAACAAACATCCACATGCTGTCTCCTCTTACGAGCAGGCTAGCTGGGTATCAGTCATTCCAGAGCTGCAGGACTTCTCTGGTGGGGTGGTGGTCTGTTTTCCCCTTATGCTGGGGGTTGTTCAGAATTTGTGGTGGAGATAGCAGTCCTTACTGTTGCCGCTTCCCCTCCCACCCGCCAAGCCCTCCCAACTTCCCAGCACTCCTGCCCCAGCTCTCTTACACAGATTTATTCATTTAAAATACAAAATGTTATGGGGGTCAAAATAGTGGCCAACAAGAGGGCAACAGCCCCTCTTGGAGGAAAGGAAAAGCAAATTCTACGGCATGAGTTAAAATCCACATCAAACAACTGTCTGGGAGGGCAGTCTTTGTACTGGCAGATGCACTGTGATTCCTGCTTGGTTACTGTGTCAAGGCTCACCACAAGGGACTATCTGTTTTAATAAAGGTTTTCTTGCTGTTGCTGGTGGTATCAGGACTGTAGTCATTCACAGGGGCTGTTGGGACTGGGGGGGGACAGACTTATCCCTGTCTCTGGGAGGGAGTTCCTGGAGTTTGGTGTGAAGGGCAGGGAGCTGCATACAGAGACAAGGGAAAAGCTGCTGCCCCTAACTGTGATGAGAATAGAATCTCGTCTACCCTGGCCGGCTGCCTTCCACTGCAGGTGGTTGTCTGCTCCGCTTGTGGTCGGGCTATGTCTTAGCATTGCTTTGTGGCAGCATGGCCTGGAGCTGTGTGTCCCCGAGGGGCTGCTCCAGGGAAGAGGTAGACTTTGAAACTTGCAGTTAGATGTTTGCTGAGCTAAGGGGCCCATCTCCACCACTGGCTGAGCAGCACAGTAGGGGCAGGCTCCGTCAACCCTTCACTGCTACCTGCACTCTGCCCTGTGTGCTGTCCTTGTTTTACCTCACTACCCATCCCCATGTTCCTTGGAGAAGGGGAATGATGGATAGGGGCAAGAGACACTATGGTTACAAACCTGTCCTCTATACTAGTGGCCTTTCTCCAGTAGGTAAGGGTTAGTGGAGTCCTGTACTGAGGCAGGAGAATAAGCTGTGGCCCTAAGACTGTTGGCCAGGCCCTAGTGTGCAGGGAAGCTGGGGCCTCTGGGCTGCTGGGGCAGTTTTGCTCTTAATGAACCAAGCGCTTCCCCACCTGTTTTTAAAATAGGAAAGAAACTTCCTGGGTGGCCAGATCCTGTTGTCTCAGGAAAGTTACAAGGAGTGACCTTCACCAGCTTCAGGCCCTATCTGAGACAGGTTGCCTAAAACTCTGTAGTTGCACTGGGCCTGCTCCCTGGGTGGCTTGCTTTGTACTCCGAGACTCTTACCTCATGCCTGCTTGGGTCTAAACAAAGCCCAGCCTTTGTAGTTGAGTATGTCGTTCAAACATCTTCTGTTCCTGCTCTGGCATTCAGAGAAGCCATCTTCTCTGGAAAATTGTGTCAGGCGCTTGGTGATGGTGGGCTGCAGCCAGCCTAACCCTCTTCCAGCTCTTGGGAACAAGCCTAATGCAGCAGGGATTCATAGACTGCTCTGGGCAGCTCCTGTCATCCTTTGCCAGAGCATCACAGCTCCACCTCCGGTGGCTACGCAAACGTGCTTGATGTGTTTGGCATGATCTGTATGGTGTGCGGGGGAAGAGTGCTATTGCTAGAGGCATGAGTCCTTGGCCAGTGGGCTAGTGCAGACCGGGCAGGGCATGCTGGGCTAGCACTGCATGGGAAACCTGGCCTGGGGGAGTGAGGGGCATACTGCATGGTTGAGAACCCTACTGATGTTAGAAGATACTTGTTTCTTACAAGAGAGGAGAATGAAATAACAAGGCGGGTGACCTAAGTTCGGACGCTGCTGGGCTTGTGCTCCATCCTTCCTGACCTGCAGCCACCCCTTGCTGGTCTGTTAGTGACTTTTTGGGCCTGGGCAGAGGCTGAGGGTGGGGGGAAGGTGGGGAAAAAGATAATGCCCCCAAACTCCTCTTTTCTCCTAACCTCGCTGCTGGCCTGGTGCAGTGAAAGGCTGGTGTGACATCGGCTTGGCCCAGCTGGCTCCACCGGAAAGTCTGTGACCTTTGACAGTGTTTCCTCCCTCGCAGCTGGCCCAAGACGATGCGGAAAGGGAATTCTCTGTCCTCTGAGGCTGTGGAGTTCTGAATTTAAAGGGGTGGGAGCATTGGCTCCTGGGCTGCAGGGATCTGCCTCCACCCGTGCAGCAGTCGCTCATTCGCACATGTCCCTGCTTTGTGCTCGCTGGGTGACCTCCTGGCTGCTCAGCAAGTAGGTGTCAATGAAGATGAAGAGTTCCTCAGGGGTGATGGGTTCGATGTAGCGCTCACGGTCCACGCCCTGCTTGTCAATCAGCACCATGTTAAAAGTGGAGCGGGTGATGTGCAGGAATTGCCTGTGGAAGCAATGAGTGGGTAGTTGAGAGCCTGCTATGCCTGCAGAGACTGGCAGCAGCTGGGCCCACCTTGCTGAATTCCCCTTTACAGACCCTGTCACACCTACTCCTGCACTGGCTGCCTCCTTAGGCTTGTGCACACCATTCCCAAGTTGAGTGAGCAGCTCTGGGAGGGGGGACTCTCTCATGCTACTGGCATTGCGCCTCTGTTCTCTAATATGGAAGCTGCCTCGTCATTTACATGCGTACAGCCCAGCTCCCAGCTGGTGCAGAAGTCACGGCCCCAGCCTGCCCCTTCCCCACTGCACCTAACCCCTGAGAGCTGGGTTACTGACTGCTGGATTTTGTGGGACCCTCTGGCTTATCCACAGGCCTGTACAAGATAATTTAGGCGTCCCAGTAGATTTTGGCTTGCTTTGTGCATGGCAGCAACATGGACACCACCCTGCTGCTCTGTGGGGATGGCTCCGTGTCCGCTGCAGGCAGGTGGCAGGGCTGGCGTTCACTTTGCACAGGCAGTAGGGTTTGTCATTTGCCCCTGTGACAGGATTCAAGCCGCCAGCACTCAGGAGAATGGGTGCCTTTCCTGTGAGCAGGTGTCTCCAATGACTCCGTAGCTGACCTGCAGTTGGGACACTTAGCCCCAAAAGCACAGGCTAGAGCAGCAGCTACAGGATCTCTAAGGAGCAGGCTCTTACACTTGCTAGGCGCCGCCCCAAGAGGGAGACAGCAGTGTCCTGTCCCTAGCAGTGTATTGCACCCACAGGTTGATCTGGGGGTCATGATCTCGCTTGCTGTGAACTATTGTGGCTGTCCACTGCCCCGATACCTGAGCTCCTCGATGATGTCAGCCGAGAGCTGGTGTTCACGGATGCGGCCCACCTCATGGGGGGGCTGCCCCAGCAGCTCGAGGATGGTGACGTGCCGCAGGTCCAGCCCGCAGGTGGCTTGCTGCAGACAGGAGAAGAGCCAGTCAGGTGCTGTTGGCTGGGATTGGGGCTGGAGGAGGCACAGGGGAGGGGCTCACCTGCAGCATGGTGATCTGCATCTTGTAGTAGCGAGTGGAGGGGTCGGGAGCAGAGACGATCAAGAGCCGACGTTTCTCATAGAACTGATCCAGGAGGCCAGCGGCCGAGTTCACGTCCACGTTGATCTGCATGGCTGAGGTGGGAAGGTGAGCTTGTGAGCACAAACAGGGAGGTGGCTGGTGGGGGCTTCTGACCCCTAGTCTGTCTGCAGGATCCTAGTGTGGCCTACCCCAGAAGTCAGCTGCCTCTCCCCTTCTCCCAGCAAGCTGATATGTCTCGCCTGGATTGGGGCTCTCTGTTGTCCATCAGCAGGAACCATTTCACCAGCTTCTCCAGCAGAGGGCAGCAAATATGCCAGGGGAGCCACACCCCAGTGTCACATAAACCAGGGAGTCTGCGCCTCACCCAGCTGAAAGTGGCCAGGAGCCCATTGCTTGTATCTCATCAGCCTGAGAGAGACAATGCCCCAGGCCACACAGATCAAGGAGGGACCCAGTGCCTCAGCAGACCAGACCTCCATCTCAGCATTGAACATGGTTGGGAACTTCACGATGGCAGCCTAGCCAGCTATGTTGCATTACTGCTCTAGGAGTGGTCAGCAGGAGATGGGGACTAACCAGGGGATATAACCTAAGGATGGTGTTTGTGACTGTTTTAATGAATGGCTGAAAACAGGACAGCTTTGAGTCTCTTCCCCATTCCCCGGCTTATGCTGGGGAACTCCAATGGCTTCTGTGACGCTACCCCTGATTTGCCCTGGGATGAGAGGAGCGGTAAATCTTGGGCTTTATAAACAATGGTATGCGCAAGATGAAGGGGGTGCTGCAGGGGAGCCTTTGCCTAGCCCAGTCTAAGGAGGGAGCAGATTCAGGGTTCAGTTCCTGTACCATGCCCATGGCCATGGGTCTCCTGGCTTTTAAATGGTACTTATGAAGAGGAGAGGGGGATTTTCTCTAGGCAGTGCAGGTGCTGGGATTCCAGTGCAACCTGACATGGGCCTACACCACAAGGCTCAGATCTGGATCCAATCCGCCCTGGAAGTGGGTGCTGTTCAGAGCCAGGGGTTGGTTTGGCACATGGCGCTGAGAGGGGTCAGCTGCAAAGTCTTGATCTGGATTCCAACTTCCCCAAAGGGCAAGGGGGTTGGGGTGGGGGTTAGGTTCAGGCCCATGTGTGTATCTGAGACAAGGGCAGTAAGAATAGCATCATCCTCAGCTCTGCCACCAGGCAGGCTCCCTGACAACCAGTACCAAAGTGATCTCAGGGACAGGGCTGGGTGATATCAACAAAGAGAGAAAGAAAATGAGAGTGAACGCAAGGTGAGGGGCTGCTGGGAAAATCCAGCTCTGATGGAGGAGGTGTGAGGGATGCTAGAGACAGTTACACTGTACTCCTTCCTTTCTCTTATCTAATTCATCTGAACATCCAACCAGCCCCTAAAGGCAGCATATGCTACACTGAGGGGAGGTGATGCACAGAGAGTGTAATGGCCTAGGGGGCGTCCCCTCCATGTTCCTGACTAGCGCGGTAGAACCACCAGAGAAGAGGGCCTTTCGGAAGATCCCATCCCAGGTTTGTCAGCAAGCGTGGGGTGGGCTGGGACAGGGCTCGGGGAGTTTGCTCGGACTGAGGCAAGCTGCTCAACCTGCCACTGCCCATATGGGGAAGACACGTGTGACAGCTGCCATCTTGGCCGAACACCTCCAGAGCTAAAAGCACAAGCAGCTACAGCTTGAGCTCAAGCTCTGAGGTAATCACAGACTCATCCCCTCTGTGAATCAGGCCCAGAGTGGGACTCAGAGTCACATGCTCAGCAGTAGGTGAGACCGGCTGGGCCAGAGACCCAAGAGGACCGTTGTGGGATGCCATCCCTGTCTGCCAATGGCTCCCAAGTCTCGGCACTGCCATTTCTTGTTTCCACCATAAGTGATTTTCCATCATAGAAGGGAGGAGGCTCCACATCTGGATGGAGGGGGATGCCTCTCGCTGGGAGGCTGGCTGGGGGATGCTCAGGCAGTGCAGATGCTGCCAGGAAAGCCCTATGCTCACCGAAGAATATCAGGGCCTTGACTTGATGAGCGCCTGGGAACTGGAGACACAACAGGCCCAGTTCAGCACAAGGAGTTGTTTCCAGGCTATAGCCTCAGCCTGCATGCATGCAACCTCGCCAGTGACTCTCCCCGTAACACTTACGCACACAAATGGGCTGGGATCCCGACCAGTGGCGGCTGGACTGGCAGACGCGCGAGGGGATCCCTTGGCGTTCATAGCCCCCGTCACATAAGTACTCGCATGTGGCACCGTAGTTATTGCCCTCAGAGGTGCAGCTGAGGTAGCCGTGCTGCGGCGGCTTCAGAACAGGGCAGCGTCGCACTGCAAAAGGGAGAGCAGATGTCAAGGACAAGGGACGCCTAGATCTAGCACTGGCTGTAGTGCTGGAGGAGTGTGGAGTGGGCTAGCCAAGGTGCCTGGAGGCCCTAGGGGGAGTCGGGCCAGGAATGGCCCGAGTGCCCATAGCTCCAAGGTCCAAGAGAGCCAGGGATGCAGGATTGGGGAGGTGGCACCCTGTGTCCTGGTATGGCCAGAGGTCATGAGATGGTTAGGGAGAGTGGGAGAAAGTGCCAAGTGTCCTGGAGTGGCTTGGGTTTAGCAGGGTTCTGGTGGTGGCAGAAGCACAGGACCTATAGGTGACACTGATCACATGGGAGACAATGTGCAGGAACCAAAACTTGTTCCCACACATCCTTGGTGTGAGCGCAGCTCCTGAGCCCACACAGGGGAAGAATCGGCTCCTCCAGCCAAGGTGTGAGGGAGCTGGGGTCCCAGGTGCAGCAGGCAACCTGTCCCTTACCTTGGACTCGGACGATGAATTTGCAGCTGGCTCGGTTGTAGGACTGGTCGTAGGCGATATAACGGATAACGTGCTCCCCCTCTGAAAACTCAGACCCAGGTTCTGGGCCCCGCAGTGTCACTCTGGACCCAAAAGACAGAGTTGCTTCAGTGTGAAGTGCATTTCTCCCAGCTGGGCCTTTGGTTTGATCCCTACGAAGTGACTTCAGGGCGACGAAGCCATCGGACCCTGTTTGGGATGGGGGTCCTGCAGCTCTCAGCACTCACCGTTTGATGATGCCATCAGCAGAGTCCTTCACATGGGGTGGGTCCCAGTACACAGTGGCCGTCAGCTTCTCTGGCTCCGCCATCCTCTCTCGTGTCTCCGGGCAACGGATCTTGGGGGGCTCAATATCTGCCCAAGCAAAGCAGAGAGAAACTCCAGGGGAACCACGTGGGGTAGGGCCACAGTACAGGGAGGGTGAGGTTCAGCAATAAACCCTGGGAGGAGCCAGTAAAACCCACGGGGGCAAGGAAGCTAGCCAGGGTGAACCATACAGACAGCAATGCCCCCTGGGGCAGGGACCCAGAATAACCCACTGAGATGCCATGCCCAGTGTGAGGGAACTAGGACAAAGCATAGGGATATGAGTCGTTCCTTCCATGAGCCAAGCAATCACCTTAAACCAAGGGGAATACAGTGCCCCTCTGTGGGGGGATGTAAGCAGGGTAAACCATGGGAAGTAATCTTGGTACAGCAGTCCCCAGTGGAAGGTATTCAGGATTAGCTGGGGTTTGCAATCCCCAGGGGTGAGGGGAGCAGGGATAAACCATGAGGGCAGTAATATCCTCACAGAGCAGGCACTGAGGAGAAACTCTGGGCAATCCTAGTCTCTAGGGCATGTGTGCAGGATGAGCCAGGCTGGCAGTAAGGACAGCAGGGTGAGAATTTACCTACACAGATTGGCTCACTGCCGCTCCACCGCCCATCCTCCATGCACATCCGGCTGCGGTCACCCTCCAGGTGGTACCCAGGGAGGCAGGAGTAATCACAGTGAGAGTCCAGCAGCACCCCAGCTGAACACTGGTAGGAGCCGCTCATCACTGCCGGCAGCACATGACACCGGACCTCTGTAACAGAACGAGCAGATCCGCTCAGCAGACACAGGAGTGTGGAAATCCCTCTGGCAGGGTAGCACACGCTTCAGGACTGCAGCACCAGGACTGGGGAGGGTTTGGAATGACACAGAACCAGCCAGGGTGGCGTTGAGCTCAGCTGCTCTGGTGTTGGATCATATTAAGGAAGTTCTGTATTAAAATCACAAATGAGTTTGATTCCCCATAGTTTAAATTCCAGGGTATTACTAATTAAGAGGTCTCTTGGTTTTTGGTACTGTTTCTCTCCCTCTATGTGTGAAACTTGCAAGCTGCTAATTGTGTTAGTACATTCTAAGACAGTCTGTTCTCAAAGCAATTCACAGAGAGAGAGACTCAAAGCAATATTCTAACAACAGAAACAGCACCCAGAGACTCCCCGCCCTTTTGTTGTATTAATAATGGTGATTAAAATAGAGATAGAGGATGTATGTGGATGGATGCTTGGTGTGGATAATAACTGAATGATCAGGGAGGTGCCAGCCTAAGAATCCAGTGTCCATCAGCTGAAGAAGGCGTCAAGTGGAAATAACCAGAGGACCCCCGGAGGGCAGACTGGAATCCACCCAACAGCCTCAAGAATGGGAGAACCAAAGAACAAGATAACATCTAGCAGCACGGAGCCATCAAGAATGTGCTATCTGCTGATTGATTCAGCAACAGCATGATGAATCAATTCCCATAGACTGGCCTAGGAAGAAATTCCTATAAAAATAGACTCTAAAAAGTGAGAACTTTGGGGTCTGATTCTGCAAACCAACTTCCAGGAGCATCAGATGAGCATCTGACAAGGCCCTGCTCCCTCCTCATGTCCAGGCCAGCTGGCCAGTGGCTTGGCATGAGCAACTCTAAGGCTGGTAACTATGATAACAACCGTGCAGAACCTCTGTGTGTGTGTTTGTATGAATGAATGTGTGAATAAATATAAATATGAGATTGAATGGAATGTTATAGCTATAACTAACTGCTTACTATGATTCTTTCTGTATTCACAATAAATGTGGTATTTTGCCTTTTTCCCTTTAATAAGATCCTGCTGGTTTTTATTTTATTGGTATAACACTGGGCCCTGGGGTGGCTTGGCTTATAGGGCTCCTGAGTTTTTCTTTCATTCCAGCCCTCATGCAACTTTGTTAACGTGGGGCAATAAACCTCAGGAGAAAGCTGCAGGAGGGGGAGCAGGTCATGGAAATGAAGGGCCTTCCATCCAGGCACTCAGACATTAGTGATGGTTGTAGGACTTAGGTAGGGTGATCTTGAAAGAGCCTGTAATGGCATGTCTATCCCCACACTGGCAAAGAAAGAGTTAACTGGAGCCAGAGAGTAATTAGTGCTCCAGTTGTATCTGGCCCAGCTGAGAGGAGCTGGGTAATAAAGAAAGAAAGGAGCCTAAGGCAGGAGACCATGCAGAGGGGAGCCTAGCTGAGGGTTAGGAGAGACAGTGGGAAGCCACAGGAGAGGAGCAAGCTCCTGGAGTGATCCTGGACAAAAGGGGGAAGGGATAGCTCAGTGGTTTGAGCATTGTGCTAAACCCAGGGTTGTGAGTTCAATCCTTAAGGGGGCCATTTAGGGATCTGGGACAAAAATTGGGGATTGGTCCTGCTTTGAGCAGGGGGTTGGACTAGATGACCTCCTGAGGTCCCTTCCCACCCTGATATTCCATGATTCTGTGACCCAGGAACCCCTCCATCCCAGGTAGCAAGGGTGGGGGGGAGTACAGGAATCTCCTGATTCTGGTATGTACCTTCTGCCAGGTCAGGTCTTAAATGATAGCCAGAGCCATGATGGTCATTAAGTTTGTTGTGAAATATCTTATATAGGCTGAAAATACATTCTCAAAGTCTGTATCAAGGCAGAGTTGGCAAACAGCCTTTCTGTTAGACATGTGAATTAAACTCTGTCAGCCACCACAGTGGAAGCGCTATTTACATACAAAGTCAAGGGGCGGGGGCAGGAGGGGGATGTGAAATCAACAGGGAGGTAGTACATGGGAGAACAAGCCACTGGGATTATCCTGGTTCTAGCACAGACAATGAACTTTGGGGATATAAGGAGAAGGCAAGGAAGACACTCCTTGATCCTGTACCTAGGAAGTAATGGGCAGCATGATGACATTTGTGAAAACTGGATCCAAACCCAAGTTCGCTGAAAGGCTGCAAAGAACATTCAGGGTGAGATAACACACTAATCTTCTGTCTAAAGAAGTTTAAGTTAAATTTAGTCTCTAGAAATCGAGTTAAGATTTTGTTTTATATGTAATCCTTTTGTTTCCACTATTCTCGCTCACTATCTCTTGGCTCTTGAATCTGTGATGGTAAACTTATCATTGTTTGCACTGTCAATATATCTTAGTGCTGGGGTATTGCTCAAGTAGCTGATCCTGAGCCGAATCATTCAAGCTCGTGTGTGCACTGTTCCCTTGGGGCAGCAGATCTGGTATTTCTGTGAGCGTTCGGTGGAGGAAGAGCTGGACACCACAAGGGAATGCTTCAAAGGGGCTCAAGGACTGGGGTACACCTATTGTTAGCCTGCCAGGCAAAGTAAGGGCTGGTATAGCCTGGAGGAGAGTGCTTGGATGGCTGACAGGCTGGTGGTAACAGGAAGCTGGCACCTAGTTAAGCCCAAGCACATCTCCCTCCCAATGCAGGCAGGGGGAGTAAAAAGGTGATTCCCAGTCCTGGGCACCCTGAGAACCATCACAGACCCAAGGAGGTAGGACCTGGGGTCAGGTTTCTGGTGGAAAGAGACCTGGACACAGAGAGCCTAGAGAGAGGCAGGTGGGAGCTGGGGGTCCAGGGAAAAAGAACTCTCCAGAGCCCAGGAAGGTGTGGGGACAGGGCCCAGACCCAAACCAAGGTAGGAAGTTCCAGGGAGGCAACAAGGATGCTGAGGAAGCAAAGCTTAGCTGCCAGCTTCAGGATCCCTGTGCTGGAACCCAGAGTAGAGGAAGGGTCTAGGTTCCCCTACCAGCCACCAAGGAAGGTGGGTTGAAAGCCCCTGAGGTAAGGGGTGGAAAGACTGAGCCCAGAGTCAGGGCGGAAGGCCTGCTGTAAGGTCACTGGACTATTGTCACTGACTCTGTTACCCAGAACAGGACCTGGGGCTGTATTTCAAGGAATCCCTGTTGAGGTTACAGGGACAAACCATCCCGATGAGTCGAAAGAATAGTAAATATGGCAGGCGACCAGCTTGGCTTAATGGTGAAATCTTAGCGGATCTTAAACATAAAAAAGAAGCTTACAAGAAGTGGAAGTTTGGACATATGACCAGGGAAGAGTATAAAAATATTGCTCGGGCATGTAGGAATGTTATCAGGAGGGCCAAATCGCACCTGGAGCTGCAGCTAGCCAGAGATGTCAAGAGTAACAAGAAGGGTTTCTTCAGGTATGTTGGCAACAAGAAGAAAGCCAAGGAATGTGTGGGCCCCTTACTGAATGAGGGAGGCAAACTAGTGACAGAGGATGTGGAAAAAGCTAATGTACTCAATGCTTTCTTTGCCTCTGTTTTCACTAACAAGGTCACCTCCCAGACTGCTACGCTGGGCATCACAAAATGGGGAAGAGATGGCCAGCCCTCTGTGGAGATAGAGGTGGTTAGGGACTATTTAGAAAAGCTGGACATGCACAAGTCCATGGGGCCGGACGAGTTGCATCCGAGAGTGCTGAAGGAACTGGCGGTTGTGATTGCAGAGCCATTGGTCATTATCTTTGAAAACTCGTGGCGAACCGGGGAAGTCCCGGATGACTGGAAAAAGGCTAATGTAGTGCCAATCTTTAAAAAAGGGAAGAAGGAGGATCCTGGGAACTACAGGCCAGTCAGCCTCACTTCAGTCCCTGGAAAAATCATGGAGCAGGTCCTCAAAGAATCAATCCTGAAGCACTTGCATGAGAGGAAAGTGATCAGGAACAGCCAGCATGGATTCACCAAGGGAAGGTCATGCCTGACTAATCTAATCGCCTTTTATGATGAGATTACTGGTTCTGTGGATGAAGGGAAAGCAGTGGATGTATTGTTTCTTGACTTTAGCAAAGCTTTTGACACGGTCTCCCACAGTATTCTTGTCAGCAAGTTAAGGAAGTATGGGCTGGATGAATGCACTACAAGGTGGGTAGAAAGCTGGCTAGATTGTCGGGCTCAACGGGTAGTGATCAATGGCTCCATATCTAGTTGGCAGCCGGTATCAAGTGGAGTACCCCAAGGGTCAGTCCTGGGGCCGGTTTTGTTCAATATCTTCATAAATGATCTGGAGGATGGTGTGGATTGCACTCTCAGCAAATTTGCGGATGATACTAAACTGGGAGGAGTGGTAGATACGCTGGAGGGGAGGGATAGGATACAGAAAGACCTAGACAAATTGGAGGATTGGGCCAAAAGAAATCTGATGAGGTTCAATAAGGATAAGTGCAGGGTCCTGCACTTAGGACAGAAGAACCCAATGCACAGCTACAGACTAGGGACCGAATGGCTAGGCAGCAGTTCTGCGGAAAAGGACCTAGGGGTGACAGTGGACGAGAAGCTGGATATGAGTCAGCAGTGTGCCCTTGTTGCCAAGAAAGCCAATGGCATTTTGGGATGTATAAGTAGGGGCATAGCGAGCAGATCGAGGGACGTGATCGTTCCCCTCTATTCGACATTGGTGAGGCCTCATCTGGAGTACTGTGTCCAGTTTTGGGCCCCACACTTCAAGAAGGATGTGGATAAATTGGAGAGAGTCCAGCGAAGGGCAACAAAAATGATTAGGGGACTGGAACACATGAGTTATGAGGAGAGGCTGAGGGAGCTGGGATTGTTTAGCCTGCAGAAGAGAAGAATGAGGGGGGATTTGATAGCTGCTTTCAACTACCTGAAAGGGGGTTCCAAAGAGGATGGCTCTAGACTGTTCTCAATTGTAGCAGATGACAGAACGAGGAGTAATGGTCTCAAGTTGCAGTGGGGGAGGTTTAGATTGGATATTAGGAAAAACTTTTCACTAAGAGGGTGGTGAAACACTGGAATGCGTTACCTAGGGAGGTGGTAGAATCTCCTTCCTTAGAGGTTTTTAAGGTCAGGCTTGACAAAGCCCTGGCTGGGATGATTTAACTGGGAATTGGTCCTGCTTTGAGCAGAGGGTTGGACTAGATGACCTTCTGGGGTCCCTTCCAACCCTGATATTCTATGATTCTATGGGGGAGGCTAAGCCACAAGAAGAAGCCGAGCACCACAGGAGTGCTAAAGGAGAGACTGCTAGGCCGTACCCAGCCAGGAGTGGGTGCACTGGCCAGTAAGTCACTGTTCTACAGAGCCCAAAGCGCTTTACAAGCTGCACACTGCAGTGGTTCTCAGCGTATGGTCCAGGGTGTTGCTTGGAGCCTTTCTGGGTGCCTGGTAGAGGGGCTGCTGCCCCAGCAGGTGCCATCTGTCAGTCTCCAATGCGGTATCGCCACCCCAAGCATTCAGAAACGAGTCTGGCTTAGAAATCATGAGAGCTTTTAAAAGAATAATAGCTACTGGTTCCTGAGCCCTAAGGGTGTGCCTGGGTCACGTTCTGCCGCTTTTCTCCCCAACCAGGAGGGCTGGGACCCTATGTTTTTAATGAAAGCTGAGAGTGTCTCCTAATCACATGAGTCCCGGAGCTGCGGCTTTAAGACAAACATCAAATATCAGGAGACTTGTGATAAAATCATGAGAGTCAGCGACATTGTCACTGTAGTTTCCTGTTGAGGACAGCTCAGGTCAGGACTCCTTTAGGGCTTCCAGGCTTTGGTTTTGACCAATGCAATTTTAAAAAGCCCTACTTCACCCTGCCCCCTGCGCAGATGCTTCATGTCTCGCTTCAGCAGGCTCTTCCTTTGATGTAAAATGAAATGCGATTGCAACTGATGCAACACCAGAGCCCCGGGCTGGGCAGCAAATAAGCAAGAGACTAGAGCAGGCAGCGAGCAGAGATCAGGTCCTAATGGACATGAAGTGCTGCACCCAGCACAGACACCAAACAGTCCCTCCCGGTTGCCTCTGTCGTGTAGCCCAGCACTAGTCACCATCAGGACAGCATGCTCACACACACTGGAACATTCATGCACGCCCCTTCCCATGCAGGACTTACGTCTGCAGTAGGCGGTGCCAGACCAGCGCCGGCTCGGCAAGCACTGCACTGACCTCCGTCCTATTAGCCGGAAGCCTCGATCGCATGAGAGCTCACAGCGCGTCCCCAGGCTGCTGCGGTAATTCCCTCCCCTGGGGGAGTAGCAGGTCGCCTCTCCGTGGTGGACGTTTAATGGATAGCACCACTGGGGAACTAAGGAGAGACCGAGAAAGGAGGGGAGATGTTGGTGCTAAATATTCAGATGGGCTAGTCTAGCTGGGCAAACTGTGCCTCACTTTCAGGGTCTTGAGGCAGCATGAGGCCCAGATGAGGGGCAGCCCAGCATCAGTCCCGGTGGCCAGGAGCACCCTTCTATGGGCATCTGGGGAGCCATGGGGAAAGCTTGGGATGACTTCCCCTGGCCTGGTGGAAAGTCAGTGTGCAACTGTTACCTCGATAGTCCAGGGCAGGAGCTTGGGGAGCCTCTTCCACATACACTTCATTGTTGTACCTCTCAGTAGCATGGTAGCCAGAACCTAGTGGGAGGAGAAAATGGTGAGGTGGGGTCTCAACCTGAGTGTCGTGCTTCTGCATCCCACCCCTGACTCTCCCTCAGAGTAGCATATGAGGTGCTGGGGGTCTGCAGAGAAATGGTGATAGGAGCTGCATTGATGTTGGGCTCTAGGGAATTATCCCTCTCTGGAACTCCTGGAAAGAGACTTGCTCCCTGGGCAACATCTGCTTCCTACAGCAATGCCTGCCAGTGTGGGGCCTCCCTCAGGGGAAACATCTATGGACCCTGGCTTCCCGCTCAGCATTCACAGCCCTTGTTAAGTTACTGTCTCCATCCCCCTGGCAACTTGAAATGCCCATCTCCTCTCAGGTTCCTTGGTACCCGAGAATGGTGTGCTGAGGCAGACACTAGACTGAGAGGAGGAGCAGGAAGGCCTGTATTGCCACAGCCTGGGGAGGTAAAATACAGCCATTCAGAGCTGGTAGCACTTCACACCCACTCTGCACTGGTGTGAACAACTGCCTGAGGTGCAGGGCCAGGGACAATCAGGTCTGAGGGGTGCGCAGCCATGGGTGCTATCAGATGACAGTGGTCATGTATTACATCCACCGTGCATGGGTAAACGGCTGCATCAGCAGCAGGCCTAGAGTCCTGCATGGATTGGCTGCTGGAGCAGTTTGGGAGTTGTGCTCCTTTCTTGCTGACACTTGATTCTCTCGCTCTGTCCCAGTCCCTATCCCAGCTCCTCCACAGACAGGGCCCCAGCTAAATGCTGAGGAGGGAGCACATCTATGCAGAAAGCTCTGCCCTCAGCTGGCAGTGACGTGGTTTGTGCGGCTGGCACTGTTCAGCAGACTAAACAGCCTGGTGTGCCAGGCTCATTAATGACAGGAAGTGGGTGTCGGAGCAGAGCACAGCTGAACAGGGGACAACTCAGTCCTTTCATGAACAAAATTCCAGGAAGTCCCTCCCATCGCTTCCCTCTCACGTCCCCTGCCACGGAGTTATAAGGCAAGTGGTGGGAAGAACAGGATTGGGCCCCCACTCCTGTGCGACTCAGCAAAGGGCGCCCCCACCATGCCAGGGCTGGGGCGCATGCAGACATCCAGAGCTGAATGAACACAGAGACCGAACTTCCCTCTTAGCCATGGCCAGTAGTGGATGCATTTGAGCCCCAGTGAATGAAATGGGCTGACTAGTGGCATTCTTGAGCTGTGAGCTCACCTTTCAGCTGGATTTCCTCTCATTCCTGACTCTCTCTTTCCCTCTCCACTCCAGTGACTGCATGTGAGCGTGCTCGATTTTGCTCCTATTTTTAGTGCCTGTGCCCCATGCATCGTTTCTGTATTAGTCTCAAAACCAAATGTCTGTGCTAAGCAGGATCCCACATGTTTCTCTACAAGTTTGGCATGCAGGCTCCCTTGAGGAAGGAGCGGGGAAAGGAAACTCCAGCTCAGAGTGACCAGGGAGAGTGCATTGTCTTGGCCTCCAGGAGAGGAGCTCTACAGGCTCTAGGGGAGCAGGGTAAGTCTTACTGAGATCCGCTCATACCCTCCACTGACCCACACTCAATCCAGAGACTTGCCTTCTCTTTTGCTCTCCCTCCCCTGCTGCAGTGCTGATGGGTGGGGGATGAAAGGAGAGGGGTTGTCACCTCAGCGCACTCCATCCACCAGCCCCTCTGAAGAGCCTCCATGTTGGGGGAAACTTTATGAACCATAATAATACAACTCCCCCTACCCCTTTCTGATCCCCAATTAAACTGCCCTGTTTCTCTGACCCACTCATTTCTACAGAGCCCTTCACCCACTTCATACATGCAGTGCCACTGAAACGCACCCACCTCTGGGCACCCACCCAGCATGCAGGGAGCCTCCGTAGGGGAAGACAGTGGCTAGAACATTGAGACAAACCACCTACTATGCTGCAAAGTGCTGTGAGATCTTTGACATCCACCCTATGCAGCCAGTACCTCAGTTTTTAAGGCTCACACACAGCAAAGCGCGTGGAACTCAATATATCTACCTCATAGGAAGGATGGGCTGACTTAGCCCTGCTGGGATCTGAATGTGTGGTTTCAGGGAGTCTTGTTATTATAAACCTGATGCTGAGGCCACAGACCCATCCCCTCAAGGAGAGAGTGACGCATCCTCAGTCTGTATTTATTCAGTGATATCATGGCTCAGTATGAATCAGGCAGAGAGCAGAGGCTGAGACAACAAAACAGGGAGGATCTATCGGTGCAAGGATGAGCCGGGGTGGGAACTGAGACCAGTCTAATGCATTTGGGGGGGTCAAAGTTCTCCAGGGGGCTGCAGAGGCCTTTACGGTGTTGGGGGGGGGAGGTCTGGGCTCTTGAGAGCCCCTCCCATGCTAACCTGGCAATGGTTTGTAGCTGGGATGCTGGGAGAGAGAGTTTGGTTTCTATAGCAAACAAGTTGAGGGGTTGTAAGTGGGCAGGTTAGCCAAGGATGGGAAGAAGCTTGGGTTTTGGTCTGTGCAGCTGTTCCAGACAAACAATCACCTGCCAAAGGCTCCCGAAGGAGCTGAAGGCATGTGGAAAAGTTCAGTTCCTGCCACCGTGGCTGGAATGGGGGAAGTTTGTTATTTACTCCTCTCTGGATGTATTCCTAACCCCAGCGCTGGGTCTGTCTCTTCCCTTCCCCACCTCCTGCAGAGAGACGCCAGGGCCCTCTCTGAGCAATCATGTCAACCTCCCAGGGTAGGTTTGTCTTTTGTTATCCAGCTCCTCCCTCGTCTCCTAACCCAAACCTGCTCCCTGGCACTCAGCAAACCGCTGCCCTCAGGGCAGGTCCACGTTAAGTAATGCTTTAGTTGACTCTCCCTGCCACCCTCACAAGGAGAGAGAGCACACCTTGCTGAGGTTCCTCTGGCCTGCATCAGTAGGCCTTTAACCTGTTCTAAACTGGGTCACCTTTCCCAGGGTGCCTAGAGGAAAAGGGGTCCTGGGATTTGGCTGCCAGGCTGAACTCAATCCTTTATTCCAGCAAACTCAGAGCTTTCCACCATGCTCCCTTCCCCCTTCCTCCTTCACCAAACTCCCCTAGTGTTCCCAGCTATGAACTGCACCTGCTTCCCTCTGCTCTACTCATTTACTCATAGCCCCCACAAAGAAGAAAAGCAGCTTCTCCTGTGCCCTGAGAGAGGCCTGCTCGCCCCTGTTGATTCCTCACTTCCTTGTAGCACCAGCTGCTGTTGACTAACTCCCCTGTGCTGGGTGGACACTGACCTTCATACCATGTTGATGACACCAGTCTGGTGAGGAAGAGCAGCAGGAGTGGTGCTTCTCCTTGTGCCATTCTAGCGTGTGGAGTGGGCCTGGGCCACGGGAGCTAGCACCTTGCCTGGTAGTGCACTCTGATGTTAGCAGGCAGGCTGCAGCCCGGAGAGCCCAGCAGGCAGCACTGTAGACTGGTACCTAGAATAAAGGGAAGTGGGTTTAAAACAGAACAACCCCTGGCCATTGGTGTGTTATTGACCCACACATTCTTGTATTCTCCCCTAGCTTTGTTCTCCAGTCCATGCTGGTCAGATCCAGATTTTTCCCTAGTATTGTCCATCCTAAGCATGCAAAAATCCTGAGTCAGATCCCTTGCAAGCATGAGTCGCTTAAAAATCATGAGATTTTGAAAAATAAATTCTGGGCCCTTTTTATGTGCCTTCTGGGCTTTGTGAGCCTCCAGGGAGTCATGTTTTCAAGCTTTTCTCTGCAACCAGGAGGGCTAGAAACTTCCTTTTAAAAAAATGAAAGGGAAAGTCCCCCAAGCTTTCAGAAATGCCCCCAGAACCATGAGACTCGTGATAAAATCATGAGCGTTGGCAACAATGTTTTCCACTGAGTCAAGGGCTATTTAATGTGGAGGAAATTCATGCTGAAATTAGAAAGGAGTAAAACTTGTTGCTAACTCCCAAGTGAGTAGTTTGAGACCAGGCCCCAGGGTTCTGATAAGTGACTCTAATCTGGGCCCATTTCTAGCTGAAATTCACCAAAATCTAGAGCACATGCAGATGTTATTTATTGGAATCAAAGGACCCAATTCACCATTGCCCTACAGCTTGTGCGATCATTTGCACCATGGCAGTGAGTGGAAAGGCAACTGGATCAGAGTGTGAGTGTTTAACATCCATCCGCTTGGTGCTAGTGTGAAGGACTGCACCAGGCAAAGGGGGATCAGGCCCATATGAACAGACAGAAAAATGTGGGGTATGGGAGGGGGGAGGATAAACCTTCAAGAGAAGAGGCCAGCTAAATATACTGATTAGTAACACATCTGTCCAGAGCACGAAAGAAGGGATTTTCTGGAGAAGGGCCTTGCTCTAGACAGCATGGGGAGAGTTTCTTTGTGACTGACTCTCCAGGTTTGTTTGCTGTCTGAGTTAGAGGTACCACAAGTCCTCCTTTTCTTTTTAGTAGGATTCAGTCAGTGCAAAGCCTGAAGGCAGATCCAGTGAGTGAGGGCAGGTGTTAGGGCCAAGACAGAGGAGCAAACGTTATTTACAGACGGCTTGACTGGAACAGGCGTGGGGGAAAAAAAATGTGTTCACTATTTACTGTGGCTTCAGGTCAGTGCTATTGCAACAGAATAAGTGCAAGGGAAATGCATGAGGGAGGGAAAACTGGGGTATAGGACAGAGGGAGGGGAAGGAGGGCAGACAATGAAAGAGAATGAGATGGGGGAGAGACACATAGACAGACTGATTGGTTACCAAGAGATCTTTACTCAGAAACTGGGGGTTGGCTGGGTGAGGAACCTCTAACAAACACAGAGAAGTAGCCAGGCAGACTGAGCAGCAGATTGACAAGCAGCTTTTGAGTAGAAAAACAAAACAAGATAGAAATTCCCGCTCCCTGTTGGTGATGCTGATCTGTATACTCCCCACCCCCACATTTCTATTGTTCCAAGTCCTCCCTCTAGCTCATATCGCTCTAGGGTTTTCCACCATGCTCATCACCATAATACCTGAGCCCCTCTGGAGCCTTCTCTATATAGAGGAGCCTGTCCTGTCACTGGCAACAGTTCAGTGTCCCCTAAGTCTTTACCTGCTATATTAGTGAGAGTCTTACAGCCAACTGCTGGGATCCTTTCCCTGCCTCTGCTGGAGGAAGGTGCCTGGAGGGAGGCTTGTCACACAGCATGCAGGAACATCTGTCTATCCTCAGCTCCAGGGGAAGACTGATAGGCGGTGTAGCTTAGTTGAAAAGCTTTCTGTGTCCACGCTCCCTGGGTCCCTTTCCCTTGTGGATAGAAGTCAAATGGCTGGTTAAAGCAGATCTTACCTGCCTCACTGCTGCTCCCTCTCCTTGCCTTCTCTCTCCTCTCAGCCTGTTCAGGAAACTTGTGCTTTAACTTTCCCAAAGTGTGTGGTTCGTTCCTGCATCCTCTGAGACTCAGCTAACACTGCCCAGATGTTCTGCTGTCTGCATCTGCCAGACGTTTCCTTAAAGCTGTACTGTCCCCCAGAGAGGAGGGGGAGAAAAAAGAGAAGGCTAGGGAGGAGGCCCCGAACCATGGCTGAAGGGCTGTCACCCTATGCAGAGATCTAAGCAGCTAATCTACCCACTGAAGACCAAATGTGGGCAGGATGGTGCCTCTCTCCTTGGCCTGCAGCCCATAGAGCAATTGCTACTGTAGCTAAGCCTGAGTCTAGGATGTGGAATACTCAAGGTTGCAGATTTCATGACTCAGCATGAGCAGGCTCTGCAATCCAGGGTACAGCAGAGCAACACTTCATAGGCTCCACAGAGGGAAAGCCACATGGGAGCCACTTTACTTCTGGCTGCACCCTTCTCAAATCCATGCCTAAAGCCAAGGATCAGGGTGGAAGGAGCACAGGCTTCCAAAGCATGCAGTGTCTGATATTGGATTGGGCGATCTAACCCATTTCATGTAATCATTTGGGCTGCGGCTTACCTTTTGTACACTAGGGGCCAAATTCTTTGCAGGTGTAAATTGATGCCAGTTTACACAAGCAGAAAAGCTGGCCCCAAGACTTTTTTTCATTGGAGCCATTTAAAGATTTAGCAGCTTCGAAACACTTCCCACATGCCCTTCCAAGGTAGGTTACTTTGATCATCTTTATCCCCATTTATACAGATGGACAAACCTCAGAGAGTTGCCCAAAGCCATGGAGGACATGAGCATCAGTGGAATTCAGAAGCTCCCAGCTGTCCTGTGCTCAGATCACTAGACTGTGCTGAATACATCTGATCAATCTGGTTCTTATAAATCCAGGGCATAGGGCAGACGCTCTGACAGGACGCTACAAATGTCTACTAGTCACCATTAATATGATGGCCCCTGAACTACTCTCAGAGGGGCATGACACTGCTGCAAATTAAGAGAGAGAAGAGGAGACTAGAGGGCTGCTGGCAGATACCTAGAAATGAATCTAGTCACCTACAACATAAGTAGTTTCTATACTATTATTTCATAGCCATGATCAGTAAGATGTTCTTCTCCTCTGCAAATCCGAACCAATGGAACTCCTCCACGTAGAAGTCTGCTGACTAGCTCAGAGTGCCTCCAGCTGGCTCTGGAGGTAACAGTTTCTAGCTGTGAGTAAAAAGAAAAGGAGTACTTGTGGCACCTTAGAGACTAACCAATTTATTTGAGCATAAGCTTTCGTGAGCTACAGCTCACTTCATCGGATGCATACTGTGGAAACTGCAGAAGACATTATATACACAGAGACCATGAAACAATACCTCCTCCCACCTCACTCTCCTGCTGGTAATAGCTTATCTAAAGTGATCACTCTCCTTACAATGTGTATGATAATCAAGTTGGGCCATTTCCAGCACAAATCCAGGTTTTCTCCCCCCCCCCCCCCATACACACACAAACTCACTCTCCTGCTGGTAATAGTTCATAAATTGGTTAGTCTCTAAAGTGCCACAAGTACTCCTTTTCTTAGTTCATCCAAAGTGACCACTCTCCTTACAATGTGCATGATAATCAAGGTGGGCCATTTCCAGCACAAATCCAGGTTATCATGCACATTGTAGGGAGAGTGGTCACTTTGGATGAACTATTACCAGCAGGAGAGTGAGTTTGTGTGTGTATGGGGGTGGGGGGTGAGAAAACCTGGATTTGTGCTGGAAATCGCCCACCTTGATTTTCATGCATTGTAAGGAGAGTGGTACTTTGGATAAGCTATTACCAGCAGGAGAGTGAGTTTGTGTGTGTGGTTTTTGGAAAAGGGGGGGGAAAACCTGGATTTGTGCTGGAAATGGCCCACTTTGATTATCATACACATTGTAAAGAGAGTGGTCACTTTGGATGGGCTATTACCAGCAGGAGAGTGGGGTGGGAGGAGGTATTGTTTCATGGTCTCTGTGTATATAATGTCTTCTGCAGTTTCCACAGTATGCATCCGATGAAGTGAGCTGTAGCTCACGAAAGCTTATGCTCAAATAAATTGGTTAGTCTCTAAGGTGCCACAAGTACTCCTTTTCTTTTTGCGAATACAGACTAACACAGCTGTTACTCTGATAGCTGTGAGTAGTTTGCTGTCTTCACAGAGTAGGCTGATTGAATTTGGAGGGTGACAGAGTCAAAGTGGAAGTGCCACAGACTGTGGCTGCCTTTCAAACAATGTCCCAGTCAGATGTTTGTGGTGCTGCAAGTGGTATGTAATCAGGCCCTGTGCTCATCCTATGTGGTGAAAGGCTACAGGAAATGTATGGGTACTTTACTGAAAGTACTCATTAATGTCCCTCTCCGAGAAAGCAAGCTGCCAGCAACATTCAAACAAGCTACAGTTTAGATGTGCTCTAGAAAACAACTGTGAGCACACTAGTATACTAAACGGCTGTCATCCAGTCTCTGACCTCCCTTGCTGGGAAAATTCACTGAGAAGGTTGCCCTAGGCCAACTGAAACAATATTTGAAATCCCCAGGATCCTTAGAGCCTATCCAATTCAGTTTAGGAGTGGGCCACAGCCCAGAAATGGTGCTCAGATTCCACCATGATGAGTGGGGTATAAACAAACACATAGACAAAATAGGGGAAATTGCTGTGGTTGATGATCTCCTCAGGGCAGTGGTCAAAAGCCAGGTCTTTTATGACATGGCGTGATTTTTTTCAGTGCTCTTGGATCATCGGGTATTGCTAACATGGCTGAATGATCTGGCAGGGTGGAAAGGAGTCCCTGCAGAGTGCTGGGAAATCAATGCTTTCCAAAGGATCCCAGAGGGGAAGTGATGGGTGACTGCTTCTCCTCTCTGAAGGCTCCCAACTCTGGGGACCCACAGGTTACAAACCTGTCACCTCTCCTTTCCAACATTTACATAAAGCTAGTGGTTGGGACTGTGGGAAAGTGCTGGTGTCAGTGTCATCCTATGCTGGTGATAATTCTCACTTCTAGGTCTCCTTTTCATGATGATCATTGATAGACTTATCCAATGCCTGACAGAAACTAGGATGTACAGAAAAGCCAGAAGAAAAGGAGTACTTGTGGCACCTAAGAGTCTACCCATTTTTTTGGGGGAGGGGCTTTGTGCGCCCCCCCCCCCTTTCTTAGGGGGGGGGGTGCTCCTCCCCCCACACTTTTCCTTAATTTATTGTGTGCCTCCGCGCCCCCCCCCCCCCCCCTTCTTTTTTCTTACCCTCGTTCTCTGAAACCTGTCAGAAAAGCCAGCTGGCTGCAGTTTAAACCAGACAAGATACAGCTGATGCTGATCAGCAGAGGCAAGTATTTAGAGGACCTACCAAAGCCTATAGGTACTCCAACACCTGGGATGGTCTGTGGTCCAATGCTGTTGCTAGAGCCTTCATTGCTCTTAGCTTCTCCATGATTGCACTGGCCACCAGAACAGCAGTCTCGCTGAGAGCCAGCAAAGACACTGTGCCCCCTCCTCTCAAATGCAGATCTCACCTCAATCATCCATGCCACTGTGACCTCTCAGCTGAACTATAACAACAGGCTTAAACATGAAAGTCCCCTGGAAACTTCAGCTCGTCCAGAGGGGCTCTCCCCCTCATCTGAAGGAGGTAGGCTGATGTGCACGCATTTTAGCTGTGCTCTGTGTGCGCTGCACTCGCTGCCATTTGCTTACCAGATGAAATAGAGAGAGCTCTAAATAGACTAGTTCAAGTTAATGGTGGCCTCTTCATCTCCAGCTCCCCATGAGACACTGGAATTCCCTGTCCCACTGGTGATGCTTAGGGAAGCTGCCTCACCATGTTCTCACTAGCAGGGCATAGTACTGTGACCCAGGAACCTGTAGGTGCCAACTGCTTCGTCTGCAGCCTCTCTGCCTCCTCCTCTCGTGTCTGTGCCCCAACTGGAAACTGTTATAATTGATTAAGTGATGGTCTGCTCTACAACAGCTAGTCAAGTTGAGCTATTTTCTCGACCTGGGGGGCGGAAGGGGAGTTCACCACAGGCTAAAGTTGAAATAAACCAAGCTGAACTCACACCACAGCTGACTTTTTAGCCCATAAAGAAATGGAGTACTTGTGGCACCTTAGAGACTAACCAATTTATTTGAGCATAAGCTTTCGTGAGCTACAGCTCACTTCATCGGATGCATTCATTCCTTTTCTTTTTGTGAATACAGACTAACAGGGCTGCTACTCTGAAACCTGTTTTTAGCCCATAGTGGGGGCTGCATCCAGCCATCCTCTGCCACAATAAATAACCCCTCTTTTCAACCGCCTCTAACTTGGTTATGAAGCTGGTGCCTTTGACGTGAGAGATGGCACTGGCAGGGCCTAGTTCCCTAAGGCGTGGGGTGGGGGTGCAAAAGCAGGTCCAAGGGCCCCCGGGGCGCGGGCTCACCCGGGCACACAGGGGGAGCCTTGCAAGAGCGCAGCTTGCGGGGGGGGGGGGGTTGCAAACCTCTGGGGATGTCTGTGAAATCGGGAGTTGTGTGATTCGACAGCCCACAAGGGAGGGGAGGGGGACCCAGCGGAGCCACGGCAGCTTTGCCTCGTCTCGGGGGCACGGGTGGGAGGGGCGGCGAGCCGGGCCGGGGAAGGGACGTGCGAGGAGGCTCAGGCCTCGGTAGTTCTCGGCCGTTTCCGGCTCGGCCCGTCCCAGCGCTTTCCGGCCAGGCTCGGCCGGGGCCGCCCGGGGGCGGGGCTGGCGGCGGAGATCGGAGCGTGGCCCGGCCGCCATGGCGCCCCCGTCGCGCAGGCTGCAGACGAAGCCGGTGATCACCTGCCTCAAGAGCGTCCTGCTCACCTACAGCTTCGTGTTCTGGGTGAGGTGGGGGCCCTGGCGGGTAATGGGGACCTGGGGGAGGGGTCCCGGGGGTTGTTGGGGGCACCGGGGCAGGGGCCTGGGGAGAAGTGGGGACCCCTGGCGGGTAATGGGGTCCCGAGGGGGTGGGGCGGGGCCCCGAGGATAGTGGGGGCCGAGGCGAGAGGACCTCGGGGGGCTGGGCTGGGCTGGCTGGACCCCTCCAGGGGTGGGTGCGGGGGCAGGGCCCAGGCTCCAGAGGGGTTCCTCTGTCGCCTGTCCGGCCTGTAGGGACCCTCTGGCCAGGTGCCCCCCCCCGGCAGTCTGTGCCCATCACGGGGCTCCCCTCACCCCGTGTCATGGCCCTGCATGTAGCACGTCCACACGCGTGTGTGACCCGAGGGGCACCTGTGTGGCTGGTGACGTGCCCGTCCATGCCCAGTATTGGTATGGCAGCCTCGGGGGAACAGCAGTGCTGGGTGGGGTGCACCCCGTAATCTTGTCCCTTTCCTTTCACTGCTCCCAAGGCTACTGTGGCAGGTGAGTGTGTCCGATCCATTAGCGCTGGGCCAGCCCGTCTGCCCCCCATTTACTTCTCTGTACCTCTCTTCCCTCTGTGTGTGCGCGCGTGCATGACGGGGTCTGGAATGTGGCACCCATGGGCATGTTTGTAACAGAGCAAATTATTTCTACCTGGGGAAATTTAATTCCCAAAGGCAGATTCATCTGAGTTCCTGTTTATACAATGCCCAAGGGACTGAAGTTCAGAGATGAAATGCTCTGATTATACAAGTGCTTCCTAGATTCCTAGCACTGCCTTTCTGAAAAATGATCTCACATCAATGATTTTAATGCCCACTTTCAAGGACTTCTGCCAGGCAGTCTTTCCTGGAACCCCTCTGCTCATGCTGCCCTCCCATCCCCAGTTTATCTGTCCTTAGCCTCCCATTTCTCTCCTATGGGATCCCTGTGTTTTTGCATACTTCCAGAGTATCTTGTGTCTCCTAGTCTCTCAGTGTGTGGGTTTAAGTGACTATGGCTAAGTAAAGTGCTTAAAGTGACAAGTGGAGTCACGATGATTGAGTCTCAATTCTGATTTCTCCAGATCTCTGGCATTATCCTCCTGGCAGTTGGCATCTGGGGCAAAGTGGGCCTAGAGGTGTATTTCTCCCTGTTAAATGAAAAGGCCACCAATGTCCCCTACGTACTCATTGGCACAGGTACTGTTGTCATCCTTCTGGGCACTTTTGGCTGTTTCGCCACCTGCCGTGGAAGCACATGGATGTTAAAACTGGTAAGTGGTCGTTGACTACCAGAAGGCTCATAAATCAAATACCTGCTTCTACAACCCAGGACTTCACCAGCTGTCTGCATGTGCTCCTCCTTTGTGCTGTGCTGTGTATGTGTGTCTGCCTCGAGAAACACTCTCTCCCCTCTTTGTACAGTGCTAAGTACTGAACCATATATTCGTTGACTTTCTCACGTAGCCACAAATCCCAGCACCTCAACTTTGCCAAAGAGGTTGAGTCCAGGGTGTGTCCTAATAGATTCTTTTCCTGCAGCCTTCTTTTCTGTGTACCTGTGTTAGCCCTGGAATGTATTTTGGTTGCATTGACTCTCTCTTCTTTTCTGTCCACAGTATGCCATGTTCTTGTCCCTCATCTTCTTGATTGTGCTGGTGGCTGCTGTTGTAGGATTTGTGTTCAGACATGAGGTGAGTCCAGGTGTGACCTATCTCTCTGGTACTTTAACCCCTTCCCTCCTCTTCCTGAGGCAGCCTGAGGCCAGGACTTGGATGCAGCACCTGCTCAGGACAGAGTTCTCACTTGCATGTTGTTTCCTCTTACTTTGTGTAATCCCATAGTTGCTGCATACTGAGGGCCAAATTCTGCTCCTTTTTATTCAGGTATAAATCTGGAGTAATCCTTTTGACTTCAGTGAAGTAGTCTGGATTTACAATGTTCTTGCTGAGAACAGAATTTGGCTCAGTTTCTGATTCCAAATGTTCAATAAGCACAAAAAAGCTGAATAAGAAAAATCTTTATCATATAAAGATGTAAAAACTGCTTAAAAAAAAGAAAGTCACATCAGAAAAGTTTAATTAGTTGAACAGGCAAGTTAAATGAGAGAAATTTAGGGCCAACATTGGGGGACCCACATGTTGGGGTTCTGAACTGGGAGTGGGGACTAAATCCATGTTTTCTTTTGGATACAACCTTTAAATAACTAGCTTTACTCCCTTTGCCAGCATGATTATGTTTTTTCACAAATCTCATACCATAACCAATCATAGCTGGCCTCTTTCTAACTTTTGTTTACATGTGACATGTTTGGGATGGACATATTTGAATCACAAGAATTAATTTGTAGTTGTACTGCTGATGATTAATCAAAATATTAGCAAAGATAAAATTAAAGTTAAACTTGAACTCAGTACTTGTGAAATACAACTGTAACACTGGATTTAGAGAGACTATATGTAGAGTGCCTAGAAATAATCATAATGGGTGCATTATACTGCCCAAGAGAAATTTTAGTCATTAATCCCTAAAGTGCCTTAAATCGTGTAGAAAAGTATTTCAGTGATTCGAAATAACCTGACTGTAATGAGGTGGGGGAGATGTTCAAAGGCATAAATGGCTATTAGACACCTACCTCCCATTTGTGCCTTTGAACATCTCCCTCAAGGACTGGAAAGTGGAAACCGAGACCATTCCCTAGTTCCTACTAAGCTTGACAGATATGCACATTTTTATAAAAAACAGACTTTTTAATTTGTGAGTTTGATCCTTCATCTGAAACGTGCCAGTCAGATTGATTTTGCAAGTGTCTTTGGCCATAAATATGGCCCACACAAACCATGATTTTATTGTGATGTCACAGTGATTAGGTCTGCCTGTAAATGCAAGAATTAAGTTCCAGTGCTTGGTGCAGTGCTCCCTTCCCTAATCCCCAGTTCATCTTCATAGCTAGTCTCACATCTGGATAGTAACAGGAATGACTTTCTAACATGGTTTAAGCCATTCCTGGTTCTCTTTCTGATGGAGCTGTGTTTTTAAGGCAAAGAAGTTCTTGTGACAGGGAACTCTTTGGGACCTGTAGCCTTCGGAGGCTTAGCTTATGAAAATGTTTCCCTTCTCTGCAGATTAAGAACAACTTTCAGAGCAACTATAGTCTTGCTCTGAGGAACTACAATGCAACAATAGATCCCCACAGCGACGCGGTGGATACTATCCAGAGAACTGTGAGTGCTCATATTTGGTTCCTTCTAAAGAAACTGGTGGGGAAGCCTGTATTCTCCAGATGCATGGCCGAGGACTCCCCGATACTTGTGTTGTGCAGCAGCTGAGGCTGGGACTCCCATGCACGGGCAAAGTACAACGCAAGGAAGGCCCTGTTTTACCAGGAGGCATTAAATATTAGATGCCTTCTCTGCTACTGCCAGAGCTGTTCCTCAGAAGGAGAGTGTGCTGCAGCCTCCCCTTGCCTCATTCCCCATGCGATTGGCTCAGAATACTGGGGGAGCAGTATTGCCTTAATGTTCCCAGTTCTCAGGCATGCGAGGGACGGCCGTTATGATGGACAGCATAGAGGGCGGCTGTGTGCACGCAGGCGGCCTTACAGGGTATGTGCTATGCAGATCTTATCTGAGTGCGTAGAGTGTGCTTGTCCCTGTACAGACACTGTCCTTGTCCTGCATATATCTGTATCCCTGAGACTGTCTGAAAGCATTTGCATTTGAAGAAAAATAGCTGCTATGCGCTGTTCAGAGGAGGTGAGAGGTAAAGGGCAGGAGGTGGGGGAAGGTGTCTACACAGGGCTGTTGGGTTGCAGTGAGGAGGGACGTAGGGGGAGGCCAAGGGGGGAAAATTTGGGGAGCTTGCAGTGATTGGTGTAGCCTTGGAGATGTGGTACTTTGGGGTTCATGCACTACTCCTTACTGTTCTAAAACTTGATTTCCCCAGTTACACTGCTGTGGAGTCCAGAACTATTTTGACTGGGTGAACACTACCTACTTTGCACAGAAGGGAATCCCTCTGAGCTGCTGCAAGTTCCAAAACTGCACAGAAAGTGATCTGAAGGAGCTGGATAAAGCCAAGGCTATGGTGTATGGCAATGTAAGTGAATCTCAGAGACTATCCCTCGATGTGTCCTGGAAGCAGGCGTGGGGAGGGGAGAGCTGGGATACTTGGATCTTCTTTCTCTGGTAGAGAGTCAAGTCCTGTAGGTGAGAAGGAACTTAGCTCCAGAAAGAGGGTTATTGAGCCACAGGAAACTTGTATGCAGTAATGGGGTGAAGGCCGTGTTGCTGCTGATAGGGGAAAGATGTGTAGAGAAACTGTCTCCAGTGTTTTTTCTCAAGTTCTCTGGAAGTCTCAGCTATTCCCTATTGGTGGGAAAGGATCTGTGTCTGCATCTGTGTCTGCATCTTGCCTGCAGTGTATCATTTGCCCTGTGTGTGAGATACTGTTGTACAATGCTTTATGTTCCAGTAACACTTAATCCTCACAGCTCCCTTGTGAAGAAAGTATACAGGGGAATGAATAGAAATGTAGAGGCAGATAGTGTTACCTAGTGGCTAAGCCGGGACTAGGAAGTCTGAGTTCCGCTCCTGGCTTGGACACTGACATGCTTGTGACCTTTAGTGAATCATGCTGCCTTTCTGTACCTATACATCCCCATTCATAAAACAAGGCTAATGCTCACCTTGGCAAAGTGCCCAGGATGAAAGGTGCAAAGTACAAAGCTTTAAATGACTCGCCCAAGATCAAACAGCAAGTCAAATGGCTGAATTCAGCACACAGCCCAGGACGTTTTGACTCCCAGGCCTTTACTTGGATTCCTTCCTGAGCTTGTTCACCCCTCTAGCTGCCTGTGTGGTGTCTGTGGGTTGGAAGGATGTACACTTGGTGTCTGGCGGCCAGGAATTGTCCATGCTCTACTCTCATGCTAATTATTTTTTTCTGCAGGGTTGTTTCAGTCTGGTAACAACAGTTATGGAGTCCAAAATGGGCATTGTGGCTGGTATCTCCTTTGGCATCGCTTGCTTCCAGGTAAACTCTCCCTTGCTGTTCTTCTATGGTCCTTGAGGAGCTCTGAGTTTAGTTTTTGTGTTCGTAATTGTATTTAATGTCTTTTAATGTTTTCTTACATATGTAAAGGCACAGCATATTTCAGAGAGGAGGAAATGGTCGACCGTTCTGCAGATTCCCCTGCCATTTTGCTTAAGTGCCGCCCAGTCACCCGTCTCCAAAACTGGGGATGAAAATGCCAGCTTCCTCCCAGCAAGCCTGCGTATGGCTTGAGAACAGCTCACTCTGGAAACAGCCAACTTCTAAGAGATGCCAGTGCAATCAAACCTCTCCTGTTCTGATGCAGTGTTAGCTGTCTGAATTACTTCTTCCAGCGCACAAACTGTCACCCTTGCTTCAGCTGCCCTTTCAGGATGATAGTTTAACTAACTTAAAGTGCTTGTAGGTGACCTAAAACATCCTGAAATGCCTCTCTCAAATTCAGACCCAGTTAATACAATGACACCATCTTCTGTTAGCCACACTGCAGAACAGGGTGCATAATATTACAGACTCCCTCTTCTCCCCTTGCTATTTCTTCCTCTCCCTCTGATTCTTCAACCTGAGGTTTTATCCTGGTGGTGAAGAAGCATCATGTCTCAAGCAGTGACGGAACTAGTGTCTCCTAATCTGACCAACCTTGTCTCAGTAGGAAGCAAGAGGCCTCTAGCCTGAGCTCCTTGTGTGCATGGGGAACATTTTGAAGTGGGCTTTCAGAAGAGCTCCCTACATTGGGTGCATGTTGAGTGCTGAGCAGTTGTGAAAATGTGATCATAAGTGTCCTAGTGGGAGTTGCTTGGTGCTGAGAACTCTTGCAAATCTGGCCTGTATTTAGTTGAGCTGCTTGGAAAATTTGACCTCAATTCTGGTTCCTGAGCACTTGAAAGCCTGCCTAGTGGGCTAAGGTTAGCAGGTTTTGCCTTCATATAGGGTCTGTCTGGCTGATGGAGCTTCCTGACACGTTTGGTCTCAGTCTCTGTCATCTGAGAAGGTGATCAAAATGGTGTCCCTTAGCATGTGTTTCTTTCATGGCTTTATCACATAGGCATGTGCTCTCACCATCTCTGTAGGGTCATCTTTCATTCTTGTGTGTGTCAGAGTATTATGTCTTAGGGAGAATTTAAAAGATAGCTGGTGCAGATCTTCCTTATCCACAGGCTCTCCCAGAACTGCGACAGCACATCAGTGTGTATTGGTACGTAACAGGGCATATATCTGAACAAGTTTCTGTGTTGCATAGTATGTCAAGTAAGATCATCTGCTGTACTACCTAGGTCTTGCTGAGTGCCTCAGTTGTGGTCTGAGCCCTTAGTCTTTCTGCTGCAGCTGCTAGGTTTGCTGAAATCGCCTGTGTTCTGTGTTATTTGGCTGTGATTGTTTCTAGGAATTCGAACACCTTGCAGTCGGCAAGGAAGGTGGCAACAGAGACAAAGACACAGATGAACTACGCCTCATTACTTGACTTGACTCTTGTTTCGAGGCGATTTCCATTCTTTCTGAAATTCTCGAACACAGAGTCACAGATCTCTCTATCAATTCCAAATGGCAGAACTCCTTATTTTCTTCAAAGCGTGTTTGCTTTTGAGTAAAGAGTATGAAGAAACAGCAGCTTGAGATTGAGGCAAAGGAGTACACAGACCCAAAACCAGAGAAGAGACTGGCAGAGTGAGATTGTGTATTGATTGCTTGATTTATTTTAGCTTTAATTTACTCTTCATTGAAGGAAATTGCCTGAAAGCAGTCTGTGAGGTATACAGGCACATCTTTTCCGAGTCAAGGTTTAACATGTAATAGCACAAGCACAGAGAGAAGAATCTCGGCCAGCCTGTTTTATTCTGATATTCGTTTGTCACTGTGCTGTTCCCTGTAACGGACAGACACAGCAAGGACTGGGAGAGGTTGGAGCACAGACCTTTATCTTGCAGCTGGTACATTTGCAAACTGTCTTCATTGCATTTTGTTGTCAGTTTCCTAGGGCTGGAGCCAGTTGGTCTCTTTCAGCTGCTATCCATTTCCTCCCTCCTTCCTGGGATGTACATATCATACTCTACTTATTACAGCTTCCACATCTATATTCCAAACAGGACATCTGGAATTTGATGAATAAGTGGGTGGGCCCATGTGCCTTCGTCAGCTCTAGGCAGGTAACCGCATTGTAGCGATTGCAGTTATTGAGGAACGTGTCATTGTTTGGGGCTTAGAATCCTATAAACATTTCATGATTTATTCTCAGGTGAACTTTGTTGTGTCACACAAGTGAAAGGCCCAATTCTGCAACTTTGCCTCCTGTGAGTACAGTTACATGCATGAGTGTTTTTAGGATCAGGTCCTAAATGCCTTTGGTACAGAAAACAGCTGCCTGGAGCCCCACAACAGTCATAACTGATGTGTGTCCTTCAGTGTTTTCGCATCAGAAACACACCAACCTTGATTCCATCATTGTCCTTGCAGGGGGAAGAGGCAGTTGATATTTTCTACTGGTTGTGTAATGGGCTGTGATGCTCCTGAGAGCCATATAATCTCTGTGAAATTACCATAAAACAGTAGATGGTTCATAAAGCAAATTCTAACAAGAAGCAACGTTCTCTTTCTCTCACAGGGAGAGCCTTCTCACTGATGGCTGCCAGGATCCTCTGACTCTCAGCTTTATCCACGCTAAAGCAAAGGAGCCCAGATTTTGCTTTTACAAAACCAAAACAGTCTCCAGTGCTTCAGATCTCGGTTGCATTGTATCCAAATCATTGCAGTTTGGATGTCCGGTTTTGGGTGACCTATACTTAGTTTATTTTTTTACATTTCAGTTGGTTGGGATCTTTCTCGCCTGCTGCCTTTCCCGGTACATCACAAACAATCAGTACGAGATGGTGTAACAAGCCAGCCTTTGACCAAGGTATGTCTGTCCTGCAGTGCCGGGGAGTGTGTGTGTGTATTCATATACCTGTGCACTGAATGGTGTGCCTGTCTGCAGATCTAGGGATGAGGGAGATCTTTTGTAGGCTTGCGCTTTCATAAGGCTGTGTGCGTATGTGCACAGGAAGGTCTGAGCAGAGAAACATGCGCACCCATGTGCAGGTCCACCCACTCAGGGATGTGCGAGGGTCTGCTCAAATCTGTGTTTCTTCTATAAGCATCTAGCAGAGAGAAGAACCCACATTTTGTAGTAAGCAGTTCTTTGACATTTAAAGTTTAAAGTGAAATAAAGTCTTTATGGATCTACCTATGTGCAAGAACAGAGCAGACAGATGCTGTTGAATCTCCTACACATGTGTGTTCATGCACCTTGGTTAGTTACCTAGACCTCCTTCCCATCACCCTAGACCACCTTTCCCATCACTCCCTCTATGGTACTAGTTCTGCTTCTTCCCAGCTCTTTTAGTGCACTACAGTTCTAGCTTGCAGTGCCCCCTGCTATTCTAGTACGGCCTCTCCTCCTCTTGTTCACCACACTGCTCTGCTTCTGCACCTCAATCTAACCCGCAGCCCCTCCGCTAATCCCATATTGGGCCTTTCAGAGCAGGGGTGAAGATGTTGAATGCTGGTGCATTTCGCAGTGAGGACCAGTATCTGCTGTGGAGTAGCATGTGACCCACAAACTTGCTTCCACTGTGTGACTTCAGCTCTGTGGGAATCCTGATCTCTAGAGCTGGGAAACATGTTCATTAACCCTTTGCTTTCTGAATTTTAGGAAATTTCCTCTGATCTCCCTCCTCTGGAGAGCACTTCATGACTTCCAGTTTTCACCTGGTCCCAGCCTGCTGAAATCATGTTTGAACTGACTGATCCTCTTCAGAATCAGCGCACGGAATAGAGTGTACCAGCTGTTCTGTCGCAGTCAGGGAATTGTCAAAACACTACTCTTTTGTAACACTGAATGGGGTAATTAGTGTACCCAAGGTAGTTATAATAACTACATTCCTCCAGGCCCCCACCTCCTCAGTTTGATTGCACAATGAAGTAGCATGATATGACAGTACTCTTATGTCATTCTTATACTTTCTGCTAGTTATTTAACTGGAATGCACCATTAATTTTGGAGGTGTATAGTATGCATTAGGAACGAAGCACTCATTGCTTTCTCTTCTGCCTTTGGCCATTTAAATTATATTATTCACTTCACACTCTGTCAGTGATCCATTGAAACACCTAATGTTGCAACTGGCTGGTCCTATCATGTTATGCAGACACATTGCCATGTCTATCTGAGGCTCTGTGTTCAATAGCATCTGTTTCCACGCTCTCTTCCCAATCAAGGGTTTTATATCACTTTTTTTATAATTGTATTTTTTAAAGGGCCTCGTTCCTCTCTCCTGATCAGGTTGTAGTGATTTTCATAAGTTGTAGCATGAGGTTCGGTGGTGTAGCTGTCTGTGTCGATAGCTTTGTAGGTATGCCTCCACCAAGTTGGGCATGATTTCATCATCAGTATTATGTTCTGCTTTAACTTGTTTTTTTGTATTAAATAGAAATCCTCTTGTCTTGAAACACAATAAATATTAAATATTTTACTCTAAAATATCAGCGCGGTTGGGTTTTGTCTCCAGGAAATTCCACCTTGATTTCAGTGCAGGAATCTACCGGAGGCATAGATTTGTTTGCCACTCATGTCCCCATTCTGGCCTGGCCCATAACCCTTGTAGCATAGCAGCACATATGCTCTCTAATCCATCAGTGTGTTGGCTCAATTTCAATTAGAGAAGTTTATTTGTATTCTCTTTCTAAAAATTGTCATGCAACATTGTTGATGGAGAACCGTCAACTGCTGGCATGGAATGCTGCAGGTGAAGTTCTGCTGAGTGAACCTTAGGCAGGACAGAGGTCATTCCTCCTGTAAGTTCATTCCTCCTCTGCTATCTTTGTTGCTGAATTTGGCCCGTTCTGCTTTGGGATCCTTCAGAGGAAAAGGTACTCTGTCACTGTAGGAAGGGGGATTTGTTCTTCTTGGTTTTCTGTGAACAAATCCATTGACAGGCCCCAACCTTTCTCCAATAACGGAGCACACGGAGGTGAGGCCCTCTATCCTGAAGACATAATAGCATCCTCCTCCTTCACCTGAGCTTGGTGCACGGTTTGGTTTGTCAGACGAGTGCTGTGCACTGGATTGGGAATTAATGCTCAGGAAAGTCGGAGAGGGGGATGAGGTACAGTTTGCCAAGCACTGTTCTAGTAATCACTGTATGAGCATGAAAAGAGGAGGGATTAGAAAGTGCTGGCTGAGCTACTGGACAATAACAAAGGGTCTCCACCCTGATGCAGAGAGTGCTTTTCACACCATTAACCTGCCCTTCCTGTCACCAAAACCAGTGCTGCTGAGAGGCAGCCTGCCCTGGCCCCAGAAGCCTGAATGGAGGAGCAGAACTACATCAGTGTTCCAGCAGAACATAATTGCCCTGTTCTGTACACCCCCTGAAGCTTTGTTACAGATCACTGCCAGAGACAGGATACCATGGTCTGACCCGGTATGGCAGCTCTTTAGTTCTTTTGTTAGCGGTAGCCCATTAAACTGGCTTCATTTCTGACTACAAAACTTAATATTCCGTTTAGTGTCAGAGAATAAATCAAACTCTTGCATGTCAGTTCCCAGATGGTTTTGTTAAAAAGCCTCCAGGGTTTTCAAGGCAAGGCAAAGTGCATTAGCACTTTTGACCATTAACATAACAATATAGACGTTGTCCAATTACAGCTAACGGCTGGACAGCCTGGATAAAAACATGCTAATGGAGGGACGTGTCTAACTGAAGCTGTGTCCATCGGAAAGCCTGTGCAAAGACATGAGCCTGCACATACTCCTTTTCGGCTGGCTTGTGTGCTGCGCCATATAGGCCAATAAGTGCAGCCCTAGTTTAATCTGCTTCAAAATCAACAGGGTTTGTCTAGCTGAACAGTTGCACCCCATCTTTCTGCTTGTTAAATTGACAGTGCATTAGCCTGTTGCGCACTCACTATCCACGTGGACCCTGCTGTCATGCCTAAAATGTTCCCTGGTGCACTTTGGTCTGCTTCCGTTTCAAAGTGGAGTGGATCAGAAGGCATCAGGGAAGTGTTAGTGTGCAGTAGCAGTGTCCACTAGCTAACGCGGGGCAGAGTCACACTCCAACGTGCTGCGCCCTACCTATTCAGTGAGACAAGTCCTCAAGTGGTGGTTGTGCAAGTTATTTTGGTCCCTTTGGGGGCTGTATCTAAAGTCCTGCCACACATTGGATCCTATTTGGTGCTAATCACCTCATGCTATCCTTTGCTGTTAAAGTTCGTGCTGATTGACGTTCACTGTGATCTGACAGCTGGTTTGTGGCTTACCTCGATGATGATGTGGTTCTTAGATTTACTTAGGCCAGGTGGCCACATGATTAAACCACCACAGTCGGCACTAACCGGCCCTCTTGTTGGAAGGTCTCAGCAGAGACACTTAGGATTGCAGGAATGTGGAGTGTGACCTGCTATAAGCTTTAGAGGCAGTCTCCCAAGGCCAGCATTGAGGTATGTTTTTACAGAGGTGTGTCTTTGTGCTACCTGTGTCACACCCTGTGTGGATTCTGGTACTTTCCAGAATACATCTCATGTTAAAAAATTGGCCCTGTTGAAGTTACTCCCCTGAGACCTTCCAGACCTCCTCCTTTTGGTGATAGGATCAATGTGACATACCCCTCTCGCCTGGCTCCGTGCCTGTGTTCACACTGGAAGAGCACAGGCAATGTCAGCTGCTGGGGTTCCAGCTCTGGAGCAGGCTCTGCGGACCCATCAGAACTGATCCCGCCATGCTGGACTCTTGCTTCTCCTCCTTCTGTTGGGATGCTGCTGGTGACCTGTCATAAATCAGCTGTTGCACAGTGGGTTTCAGCTGGCTCAGAAATCCTACTGATGAGTTTACAGTGCCAAGCACCTTTGGGGATGGGGGCATTAGAAATGTGCACTGAGGTAAGTTGTGGAAGCTGTGACGCGACAAGGATGCTCCACATTCCTGCCTGTTCTAAAACCTTCTGTTGCGGGGTCCAAAGCAGGGAGCAGCAGGAGTTGAGTAGCAATCGAGGGCCGCTAGTGAGAAGCTGCTGTAACAGCTGTTGCAGGTGAGAGCGTATGCTAATGCTGCTTAGGTGAGTTAAAAAAGGAAGGAGCCCCTTATCTTGCTCCACGGTGGCTTTCACATGTTGTTCCTTTGTCCTGAATGTAGCTGCAATAAATAAGCCATGAGCACTCGCCCCTGACATTACTGTCTTCTCTTACTCTGCATACTTGGTCTTTTGGCAACAGCTCTGACTTCAACTCCAGAGAGAGCCACCTGAGCATGAGTTCGTGCAAATCACAGGGCTAGTCTCCTGCACCCTGCCCCGGCTGACTTCTGAATTGCAGTCTTTCCTTTGCTCTCCTGTTATGGGGTGTAACTGATGGGGATGTAGGGTCTGTATATGCGGCTATGTTTTTTCCATACAATATTTATATGTCAGGAAAGGTTTCTGAATTCAGTTTCTGAAATAGCTGTAGTTCCACCCCATGGCCAGCAGAGAGCAGCACCGAGAGAGCATATTGATTTCAGAGCCTGTCCATCTGGAATTCTCCCACTTTCCTTTCTGAATCCTCTCCAGAGGGGGAAACCCCAGCCACCCCTCCTCATTTTGTGGGTTTGCTAACGAGGGACGCTGTGCTCAGATGCCGGGCCAACAAGTGTGCTATAAATACCTAGACTAATCATTAAAATGTGTAATAGAAACATAGTGCATGAGAGCAGGATGGATGACTTGAATGCGGCAATTATTATTTATTCTTTGTATCATCATAGCTCCTAGGATCTCCAGGTGTGGAGCAGGACCCGTCATGCCAGGTGCTGTACAAACACACATCACAAAGGTGGTCCCTGCCTCCAGGAGCTTAATAATCTAAGCAGGGGCCAATGTCGCTCAGATACTCAGAATGTGTTAAAGGCAACTTGTACCACAGCAGAAAGACTTTATTTTTGAATAGGTGTTGCTAACATACTAGATTTATGTGATGGAGGGTGGGGTTCAGGGAGAATGCAGGCACTTTATGCACCTGAAGAATAAGGAATATATTGTATTTTGTTCCTTCAAGGATCTCCAGGCACTTTGCAGAGGTGATGGGGATTCCATTTTCCAGATGAAGGAAAAGGTACAGAGAGGGGGTAAGGTCACACACTGAGCATGGAGCAGAGTTTCACAGTAGAAGCCTGGTCTCTGAAATGAGAGTTGGTTCATAAGTGCAGCCCTGGGAGGTCTGAAGGAGACGTGTTCTCTCTGCTCCCCCTACTCCCCATCAGTTTTTTGTTTTCCTGTTGATGCCCCTCAATGCCTCTGCTAGCCTCATGCATTTTCACTTAATTTACAGCTGAGCTCTGGCTTGGCCGCTCTGTTCAGGAATCCACCAGATTCTGAGTTGCTCATTCATCAATAAATAATTAGCGGGTAGATCCTCACTCTACTTCTGGCTGCTTTGTGCTGCATGGGCAATGCGAACTAGCTGGAAAGCAGCCCCAGTGGGACAGCTGAGATTCCTCATTGACGTAAGAGTCCCTTGGGGAGCCCACTACAAGCTGACATAAATTAGAGCACCCTTCATGCCGCTCTAATTTGATTGGCCCCTGGCTACCGCCAGGATTGTGGGAAGCTGGAGGGTGACTCAAAGTCACCTTTGTCACCTGCGCTGTGCCCAGGAGCGAGCTATGTCAATGAGCCCCAAAATTTTCAATAGGATTCAAGCGCAGTTTCATGTCTTACTTGAAGTCACGTTGGGAAGGCACTGGATTATTAACGTAAGTGCTCCAGCGAGGCCGTTTATCGTTGCTCGTCCCTCTTTGATGTGTGGCACCAGTGATGATGTTAACAAGCTGCTCTCTGGATTTAACTCTGTGATATTACTTTCCTTGAGATTTAGAGCAGTGAGCAGCATACCTTGGGTTTCCTTTGATGGAAACACTTGTCTGACAGCACCACACAGGCTTATAAATAGAATTTAAAGAAAAGAATAAAGAAATTCTGCTCTAGGGTACAGAAGGATCCCCATAGTCCCTGACATGAACCAAGTGACTGGAACAGAGACCACCCAGATACACCTCATTAAGATTTGCGCTTCAGATGGCAGGAGCCAAGGTAGCAGTTCTATGTCCATCCAGACCCTGGGTCTGACACATAGCTCTGGGATAGATTTTCTTTTGGGAGTTGCATAAATCAGTGCAAAATAGCTCTGAGCAGCCCAGACAGAGAACAGCTTATTCTCTGAGAGCTAGAGACTGATCATTGCCATGACTCAGAATCTTACAAGGGGATTGTGAGTCCACAGTGATGATGATACAATGAAAGGGCTTTTCTTTCTTTCTTTCTTTCATGCAAGGCAGGGGTGAAAAATCCAAGAGAGAAGCGCAGCCTGTCCTGGGAATGCAAGACAGAATCAGCCTGATGACAGAATTCCATGTCTTTGTTCATCTTGGCATGAGTTCCATGTCTTTGTTCATCTGAAAGAAATGCCTCCAAATGAGGCCTATGGATGGGTGAACCGGCTAAAAGTAAT